CCTCCCTGCGGGGACATCCTTCAAGGGGGAGGAGTGGGTTCAAGACCAGCTCCGTCGCCTGGCCCGGGTCCTGAAATAATGTTGGAACACCCAAAAGGAGCCCGCTCGGTCCTTACTTGGCCCCTGAAAGCCAAAACATTCTTCAGACGAAGGGTCCCTTGGCCAGTGACGGTGTTAAGCCACGTTTTCCACACCCTGCCTAAGGTAGAGCTTCCACATCAGTCAGTGTCCTGGTCACCCCTGGCCCTGCCGGCCTCCCCAGGTGGCCCCACGCAGTCCCTCGGGGTTCCACACCCGGTGAGTAGCACCAGCCCCTCTAGAGCGTCTCATGGAGGGGCCGGTCAAGGGCAGAGAAGGGAGAAAAGGCCGTCTGTACTTGGCACGTATTGTCTCATTCCGTCTGTACACTCATCTGGAGCAGGTATGACGATGGCCCCCACATGGGGACACCGAGGCCCCCCAAAGTCTGATGAGCGTGCCCAAGGCCACAGAGGTTCATACATAGGCAGCCTGGCTCTGCAGACCTGCGCTGGTGACCCCGCTCTGTGCATCCGAACGGTGGGCCTCAGCGAGAGTCAGTTCCTACAACGAATATCAACTCAGGGGCTCTCAGTGCCTCGTCATGGGCCGGCATTCACGGCCTCCCCATCATTCTATTTGCTTTAACTCAAGTTCATTTCAAAACACTTCCCAACAGCCCTGGCTCATCTAAGGCTTCTGGATTCCGTTCCACGTGGCACTCCAAGGATCTGTGTCCTAGGACTTTCTTTTTCTTTTTTTATTGATTTCAGAGAGGAAGGGAGAGGGAGATAGAAACATCAACGATGAGAGAGAGTCATTGATCGGCTGCCTCCTGCGCACACCCCCCACTGGGGATCGAGGCTGCAAACTCAAGCGTGTGCTCTGACTGGGAATGGAACCGTGACCTCCAGGTTCATAGACCAATGCTCAACCACTGAGCCACCCAGGCTGGGCCTAGGGTTTTCCAAACCCGTCTTGGGGCCTAACAGCAGACGCTCCCACTCAGTGTCTAGAGTCCTTGCAGACACCGTTACACTCCAGAGGGCAGAAGAAATGGCTGTAACAGCAGACACAGCGCTCAGTTCCGGAGGAGCTTTATCTCCACCGTTTGCATCAGCTGTTGGCCCCCTCCCCCCGCTCCATGCCAGGCAGGGGAGGTTTTCTTTCACCCCTCACTCAGGGAGAGCCGAGAACAGCAGGGTGATGGGAGGAAGATGCTCGCTCTAAGGGTCGTGTGAGTTTGGGGGTCAGCCTCAAAGGGGTGCTCCCTCCCCTGGCCCTCGCCCAGGGCCTGGCTCTCCACACCCACCTGCTTCTGCGCAGCAGCTGTGGCATAGAGCAGCAGGCCCAGCCGCGGGGAGGAAGCAAGGAGCTGTGGGCATCAGCTGGTCGGGCGGCCAGGAAGGCTCCACCCCCAGGAGTGCGGGTCTGAGCTGGGTGCTCCACGGAGGGACTCCGGTGCCTTGTCTGATGGCACCGAGTGACATCCGAGCTCCCCTCTGCCCTAGGATTGACCACGAATCAGAGCTCTCTCCAAACACAAGCCACCCCTGGAGGAAGGAGGGAGGGAGGCACAAGTCATCCAAGTCTCGATGGCTGAGCTGCCAGCTGTGGC